CTTTCTGGTACTCCTATTATGTGAATATTGTTTTGTTTGGAGTTGTCTCACAGCTCTCTTACCATTCTTTAATTCATAGAGATTATTTTTTCTCTCTGTTCCTCAGCTTTTTTGTGCTCCCATTCTCTAATTTCCATCCATTGATTGTCTCCTCTACTGGCAGCTATCTATTATTCATTCCCTCCATTTCATTTCAGTTACTGTATTCTTCAGTTCTGAGTGGCTCTTTTTCAACTCTTGTATGTCTTTGGTCAAGTTCTCCCTGAGATCTTTAATAATTTTCTGCATGTAAGTTGAGCATATTTATGATTGCTACTTTGAAATCTTTATTAAGGAGATGATTGATTTCCATTTCACTTAGCCTTCTTTCTGATATCTTATCCTATAGCTTTGTTTGGAAGAAATTCCTCTGCCTCTTCATTTGGTCAGGGTTTCTGTGTTTGTTCCTTTGTATTAGATGGGTCTGCTACATTTCTTGTTCTAGAGAGTAATGGCTTTATGAAGAAGACATCCTGTGGTACCCAGAAGCTCAAGACTCTTTATTTTCCACTACCTAGTTCTTTGCAGTGGATCTCCAGTTGCTTTTTATGGGCAATAGGTAGGGAAACTTTCCATCTGGCTGCAGGCAGTGGTTTTAGTCCACTGTGGCAGGCAGTTTGCCTCAGCCAGCCATTTGTTAGAAGAGCAGTGACTTCTGCTGGGATTGCTGTGGGTGGGCTGCCCTGAAGTGTTGGTGGGGTTTTGGGTTAATGAGGTGGGCCAGGTGGTTACACAGCTTTGAGGCAGGCATATGGATTATTGAGTCATGCAAGTGCCCCCTTGCAACAGAAAGGCATGGGGTACTGGGTTTGACAGCCCTGAGGAAACAAGGTGCACTCCAAGCTGCATTCCCCAGTTTGGCCTAGACAGGGTGAGAAATATAGCAAAGTCTCCCTTTGCCTGCCAGGTAACAAAGTCTGATGCTGCTGGGCCGAATAGGCTGGCACACTAGCAGAACCTCAGGGCTGAGCTGCCAGTGAGGGTCATGGAGTGTCTGGGGCTCCCAAGAGGGCCTAAACTGTCAGACTGTGGGAGGGCTGAGAAGTGTTGTTTACCTGCCATTTCTTCTGCACAGAGTGCTCCATCTAACCCTCTCCTCTCTGGAAACCCTCCAAGTTCTGGTAAATCTTTCAAACTGCAGCTTCTGTGTTGGGTCTCAGCTGGGGTGGAGGAGTGGAGCTTGCCTGTCCTCCACAAGCTGCTGGAGTCTCAATCTCCCAGTGTGTTCCAACTGTCCTTGGTGTCCAACCCCACTAATCACTAGTACCCAATGTAATATGGATTCATGCTCCCAGAGCAGATCTATAGAGCCAGGTGTGCAGAATTCCTGAGTGCCTGTCCCCTCCCAACTCTGTTCCTCTTCCTCTTGCCTGTGGGCTGGGATGGTGGAAAGGCTTTTGTCCTGCTCAATCATGGCTCTTCCACTTTACCGTTCTCTGTGTGGTCTTCTCTTCTTCACCAGGTATAGGTCGTCTGTTTTGCAGTCCTCTGGTTGTGATATCTCTGACACAAATGACATGGTGTATTTCTTCCCTAAGTATATGTATAACAATGACAATATTAGACACAGCAGTAATAGTAGTATAACTTCATTCAGGTACCTGGACCTGATTCTAATGTGTGGAAATATGTGAGAGGGGGTCTTCCCACACATATTTATACCAAGCAATTCTTGAACACCAGCAAGGTGTTGGAGAACTCAATTCTGATGCTATCTGCCCAGAGACAGCACCAGATTCCCAGGTTAAGGGCTGTTTCCAACAAGGCTGCCCTCCACTCCACACTCCAGATGCTGGTCACAAGCCGCAGGCAGTTCCTTGTGCTTTTGACCTACCAGTTGCAGATTGGAGGTTCCCATGACCTCTCCCTTAGGTTTGATTAATTTACAGGAGTCACTCACAGAACTCAGGAAAACACTTATACCTACCAGTTTAATAAAGGATACCATAAAGGATACAAGTTAACAGCCAGCTGAAGAGAGACATAGGGCAAAGTCCCAAATAGAGTTTCTATCATTGTGGAGCTTGGGACCTAGTCCAGTGGCACATGGAGGTGTTCTGGTTCCCCAAGCATAGAAGCTCTCTCCAACCGAGAAGCAGGATCCAACCATGCAGAGCAAGTGAAGAGGTCCAGGTGAACCAAAGTGAGGGAGAGAGCAGAGCAGAGAGCTCTTCTCCGGGGATTTTCTGAAGGCTTCATTGCATAGTCATGATTGACTATATTATTGGCCATTGGCTGTTACAACCTCCAGCCCCCACCCTTGGGTGGGATCCAAAAGTCTCATTAACATGACATAACACCAGTTTCACCTTTAAGACTGCAGTGTTTTCAGAGCAGCGGATGAAGACCAAATATACCTGGGAATATTTGAATGACTAAATATGTATTTCTTATAACTCATATTACAGGTTGTTTTCAGGTTTAGCTGTATCTGCTGTAGTTGTTTCTTTGGTGTTTGTGTGGTAGGTTTCTACCTTGCATTCTTACTCTGCCATCATTTTTTCCCTTCCCAGCTATTGTCTTATCAAATGTTTCAGCCACTTTATCTTACAAAGAGGAAAATTAAAATGTGAAAGGCATGTAATTTTAGAGAGAATCTAAGTAAATAAATTCTTGACTTTGACAATAGAAGTTTATTGAAACAAAGACACACACTTTGCCAAGTGTTAGAGGAATAATGTCCTGTCGAACCCACGATGGTCATTCTATGGATGTTCACTTTACTCATCTGATAAAATCTATGTGGAGGACTTACAGCCTACAGTAATGGTAAAGACAACTAACAAAAATGTTAAATTTTTCTTTTTATCAAAAGACACCATAAAAAGTTGTAAAGATGGAGAAGATATCTATAGCACATATAACTGGCAAAGGATCATGATACTTAGGTTTTAAACTATTAAAAACTACTGATAATAGGCAAACAACCAAATACACAAAAATACACAAAAATCTTGCACAACTAAAAGAAAATGAAATAAAATGTAAAAATAAATAGCTGAATAGGTGCTTAAGCTCATTAGTATTTAGTAAAATTAAAACTAAAAATCACATAACATACCATTGTATACTCTCTATATATAAGAAAAATAAATATTGTTAAAACCGTTTTGCCACAAATTAAAAATACAACAACTCACATATATTGTAGTGAAAATGTAAAGTGGTACAATTACTTCGGAAACAATGGTGTTATTTAATTCACTTGAAAATGCAAATAGCAGAATGGGTCGTGCTCACCAGTATCCACATGGGCCTTTATATTTCCCAGCTTCCTTTGGGTAAGCTATTAATTCTAGCCAACAGAATATACATGGAAGTAGTGTGAGTAACCTGAAGGCCAAGACACATCTGTATATAGTGTGATGATTCCCCCCAAGATTTTGAACCATTGTGGGTATAAGTGAAGCACTATAAGATAAAGGATATAGAAATTGGATAATTATTACATGGAGAATAACTATCCAACAGAGCCATACTATCTGAATTGATTTTTGCATGAGCAAAGAATAAATCATATTCTGCTCTGCATTGTGCTTAGCTACTGAGATCCTGGATGTTTGTTTCAGCAACCAGACTTCATAATTATCATTAATACACCTCTCCTATATCCCCTACGTTATACTTAAGAGAGTAAACTGTTAGAATAAATAAATAATGTAATACTATATAATAATTAAAATAAATGAAGTAAATAATGCAATAGCATAAAAAATCATATAAATATAATGTTGACCAAAAAGAAGAGTATTTTAAACAAATACATACAGTATGACAAATTAAGAACAGGCAAGATGATTCTTTACTATCTGGGATGCATATTGTTAGTAAAATCATAGAGATAATAAGGTTGGGATTACAATGGGAATCAGAGTAGTTATGTCTGTGGGAGAGGACATTATTATTGGAAAAAGACAGAGGATATTTTGAGGGTGTAATAATGTCCTGTCTTACCCATGATTGTTGTTCTTTGGATGTTCACTTTAGTCATCTGATAAAATCTACGTGGAGGACTTAAAGCCTCCAATAATGATTGTCACTTATATTGGACTAACCCTCTTACTGATAATAATTATAACTCTGAAGAAAATCTAAAATATTTAAAAACCACTGGAGGCTGACCAAAAGCTAGAAGAAAATGGAGATTTGACTCAATAAAAGGGACTATAGTGGGTTGTGTCTATATTTATACAACTCCTTCCTTGCTGATTCATTCAGTGCACAGTGGATTGAACTCATGGAGAACATGCAAAATTACTGGACTGAAGAAATTGGATATCAAAGAAGCTAGATTGGCTAGAAATTTAGAGATTTAACCCAAAAAGAAGACAGGAAAGTAAGGAAAAGGGGACAAACAACAAAAGTGGCAAGAAGAAAACAAAAAGCAAAATGGTACACTTAACACCCAACACTATTATCATATTAGTTGTAAAAGAAACAAACATCAAATTCTAATTAAAAGAGGAATTGTCGGCCCCCGCGCGCTCCGCGATCCCTGGCGACGGCGGGTCCGCGGTTCCGCGGCCTCCTCCTATCCCCGCCTACCCCCGCCGCAGCCCGCCGGTCTCCTCCCTCCGCAGCCCCGGCGGCCGTCTCGCCGGCTCCCTGGTCCCAGGGGGCAGCGGACCTGCGGGGCCACGCAGCCCATGACGCCCCGGCCAGGGGCGAGCTGAAGAGCGGGCGAGAGCAGGCCCAGCCCCGGGCCGCCGCCGGACCCCGGGCGTCTGCCCCGCGTCGGAGTCGCTCGCTGCCTCGGGCCGGCAGGGCCGTCCGGTCCCTGGTCGGGGGTCCGCCGGGGGTCGCGGGCGGGAGCGCGCCTGCGGCTGCGGCAGACGGACCGCGGGTGTCGGTTCCGAGAGCGGCCGCCCGGGCTCGAGCCTCCCGGACACCGGCCGTTCGCGGTCCGCCCCCCACGCGCGGGGACAGGTGCGCGGCCGGGGTCTGTCGGGAAGACGGCGACCCCAAGCATGAGCTGGCAGCCGCACTGCTACGGCGGCTCTGACAGCGGGGCGGCCAAAGTCGCGCCCTCGCCGGCCACCGCGCAGCAGGCGGGGCACAGCATGGATTACAGCCACGATCTGCACCTGAAGATGAGCAAGAAAATCGCCCAGCTTACTAAGAAAACTGGCATTGAAGTTAACAGAAGAAGAGCTATGTGCCAAATAAAGCCTCTGGAATTAACATCTCTGAGGTAATATATGCTTTGAACACTAAAAATGATGAGCATGATTCTGTAATTCAAGCCCTCAGAGATGCTCATGAAGAAGAAATCCAACACATTCTTGCAGAAACAAGAGAAAAAATACTGCAATATAAAAGCAAAGTAACAGAGGAATTAGATCTTAAGAGAAAGATTCAAGTTTTAGAAGCTTCATTAGAAGATCACATAAAAATGAAGCAGCAGGCCTTGACAGAATTTGAAGCTTATAAGCATAGAGTTGAGGACATGCAACTTTGCGCAGAAGCCCAGCATGTTCAGTGCATAGTGACCATGTCTAGAGAGGTTGAAGAGATCAGAAGGAAATTTGAGGAAAGATTATGGAGTTTTGGACAGCTCCAAGTACAGTTTGAAAAAGACAAGCGTGTGGCATTGGAAGATTTGTGAACTGCTCACAGACAGGAAATCCAAGAGCTGCTGAGGTCACAGCAAGATCACAGTGCCTTCATCAAAAAAGGGCAGGAGAAGGTAGAGGAGCTGCACAGAATGGAGGTGGAGACCTTAAACAGAACACTGGAAGAGCTAAGACTTGAACAGAAAAAGTTAATTGTGGATTATGAAGGCAAGTTGAATAAAGCTCAGTCCTTTTATGAACATGAGCTTGATACTTTGAAAAGGTCACAGCTTTTTACAGAAGAAAGTCTGCAGGTCACCAGAGAAAAGGAAGCTGATCTTAGAAAAGAATTTCAGGGACAAGAAGCAATTTTACGAAAAACCATAGGAAAATTAAAGACAGAGTTACAGATGGGACAGGATGAAGCTGGAAGTCTTCGTGACAGATGCCAAAAGCTTCAGATCGCACTTGTTACGGCAGAGAGCTGCATTCAGGTTCTTCAAAAACAGCTTGATGATGCCAAGGAGGGAGAGATGGCCTTATTAAGCAAGCACAGGGAAGTGGAAAGTGAGCTGGCAGCAGCCAGAGAACGTTTACAACAGCAAGCTTCAGATCTTGTCCTCAAAGCCAGTCATATTGGAATGCTTCAAGCAACTCAAATGACCCAGGAGGTTACAATTAAAGATCTAGAATCAGAAAAATCAAGGGCCAATGAGAGATTATCTCAGCTTGAAGAAGAAAGAGCTTTTTTGCAAAGCAAAACTCTAAGTTTGGATGAAGAGCAGAAACAGCAGATTCTGGAACTGGAGAAGAAAGTAAATGAGGCAAAGAATACTCAACAAGAATATTATGAGATGGAGCTAAAAAACCTGCAAAGTATTTTGGAAGGACAGGTGGCTCAATTAAATGAGGCCCATTCTAAGACTTTGGAAGAATTAGCTTGGAAGCACCATATGGCAATTGAGGCTATCCACAGTAATGCAATTAGGGATAAGAAAAAATTGCAAATGGAATTGGATGAACAATATAAAAAGGAGATGCTAAGCCTGGAAGGGGATAAAAATCAGCTTCAGCAAGAGCTAGAACACCTGAAGGAAGAACTGGAAGAGAAACTGAATACAGCCAATCAGGAAATTGACCACCTCCAAGATCTGGTAAGGAAAAGTGAACAGGGTCTGGGCTCTGCAGAAGGACTCATTGCTAGTCTTCAAGACTCATAGGAAAGACTTCAAAATGAGCTTGACTTGGCTAAAGGCAGGCTAAAGGACACCAAGGATGCCCTATTAAATGTCGAGGGTGAGCTACAGCAAGAAAGGCAGCAACACGAAGAAACACTTGCTGCCATGAAAGAAGAAGAAAAGCTCAGAGTGTACAAAATGGCCCACGACTTAGAAATAAAATGGACTGAAAATCTTAGACAAGAGTGTTCTAAACTTTGTGAAGAGTTAAGGCTTCAACATGAAGAGGATAAGAAGTCAGCAATGTCTCAACTTTTGCAGTTAAAAGAGCGAGAGAAAAATGCAGCGAGGGATTCATGGCAGAGAAAGAAGATCTCCTAAACCAGATTTCCTTGCTGAAACAGAACCTGGAGATGCAGCTTTCCCAGTCTCAGACTTCTTTGCAGCAACTGCAAGCCCAATTCACACAAGAACAACAAAGACTTACACAGGAGCTTGAAGAATTAGAGGAACAACATCAGCAAAGACATAAATCTTTAAAAGAAGCACATGCCCTTGCATTTCAAACTATGGAAGAAGAAAAGGAAAAGGAACAAAGAGCTCTTGAAAATCGTTTACAACAAAAACATTCTGCAGAACTTCAGTCATTAAAAGATACACACAGAGAGTCAATGGAGGGCTTCCAGATAGAAATGGAATAGGAACTTCAGACACTTCGGTTTGAATTAGAAGATGAAGGAAAGGCTATGCTTACTTCCTTACGCTCAGAACTAAACCACCAACATGCAGCTGCAATTGATTTGTTACGGCATAGTCATCATCAAGAATTGGCGGCTGCTAAAATGGAATTAGAGAGAAGTATAGACATCAACAGAAGACAGAGTAAGGAGCACGTGTGTAGAAAAACAGATTTACAAGAGGAATTAAGGCACAGAGAACATCGCATCTCAGACTTGGATAACGAGGTGCAGCACCTTCATGAAAATATAAGTGCCCTAACCAAAGAACTGGAATTTAAGGGGAAAGAAATTCTCAGAATACGAACTGAATCTAACCAGCAGATGAGACTAGAAGACATGGAAGAAAAATATCTAATGAGAGAATCGAAACCAGAAGATATACAGATGATTATGGATTTAAAAGCCATGCTTACAGAAAGGGACCAGGTCATAAAGAAACTAATTGTAAGATTCTTTTTTTGGTGTAACCATGTTAGTAATCAATAGACTATTGACTGGGAAAATATTTTTAAGTAATGCTAAAGAACAAAACAAAGTACAAAATATGTGTACTGTGATTAAAAATTTATTAAAATGTTCATCAATGAGGATAAAAAAAGAGAGGAATTGTCAGGTTGGATAAAGGAGAAGATGCAATCATTTAATGTTTATAAAATATGCATTTTAATAGGAAGACACTGAGAAGTTAGGAGACAGTATCAATTATGTGTGGGAGGAAATGTATCAAATGATTTGTTTCACCAAGTCCCATGTGCAATAAATTTTTATTTTATTGTTTGTCATTTTTTTTATAGCTTTGGTATTGTTTCTTTATTAATGAAGAGAGGATCTACCTTGAATATTTACTTTCTTCCCACCCTACAATCACACCACTACATCATCAAAGCCAATCCAGTTTCTACCTGCTTCCTGTCAGTTGGACTCCAATCTAGATTTTTTACTATAATTGTATATGAAATCTATTATTATTTTTCCAAGCACAAAAATGATAAAACTGAAAGGGAAGTCAGCATTGGAAGCAGGGTCCATATTTTTTTCACTTATTACTATATATCTAAAATGTAAATGACATTTGGGGACTGACATATAGGGAGTACTCATCAAAATTTTTTTAAGTTGATATATTTATATATTGTAATATGATTGCCATTGTAGCAATAGTTAGCCCCTCTATCATGTTACATAATTATCATCACTTTTTAGTGGTTGGAATAATTAAGTTATAGTCTCTTAGTAAGTTTGATCATTGTGATACAATATTGTTGTCTATATATTTTTAAAAATTTTTTGTTAAGGTATGATTAATATATACTTTTATGAAGGTTTCACATGAAAAAACAATGTGGTTACTACACTTACGCATATTAGCAAGTCCCCACCCATACCTCAATGCAGTCACTGTCCATCAGTGCAATAAGATGCCACAGATACACTATGTGCCTTCTCTGTGCTACACTGTTCTCCCTATGATCCCCCACACCATGTGTACTAAACCCCTTCTCCCTCCCTCCCTACATCCCTTCCAACCCCCTCCCCTTTGGTAACCACTAGTTCATTCTTGGAGCCTATGAGTCTGCTGCTATTTCGTTCCTTCAGTTTTGCTTCATTGTTATACTCCACAAATGAGGGAAATCATTTGTCTTTCTCTGCCTGGCTTATTTCACTGAGCATAATGTCCTCCAGCTCCATCCATGTTGTTGTAAATGATAGGATTTGTTTCTTTCTTATAGCCGAATAGTATTCCACTGTGTATATGTACCACATCTTCTTTATCCATTCATCTACTGATGGGCACTTAGGTTGCTTCCATATCTTGGCTATTGTAAAAAGTGCTGTGATAAAAATAGTAGTGCATATGTCCTTTTGAATCTGAGAAGTTGTATTCTTTAGGTAAATTTCAAGGAGCGGGATTCATGGGTCAAATGATATTTCTATTTTTAGTTTTTTGAGGAACCTCCATATTGCTTATCACAATGGTTGAACTAATTTAAATTCCCACCAGCAGTGTAGGAGGGCTCCCCTTTCTCCACATCCTCACCAGTATTTGTTGTTCTTAGTCTTTTCGATGCTGGCCATCCTTACTGGTGTGAGGTGATATCTCATTGTGGTTTCAATTTGCATTTCCCTGATGATTAGTAATGTGGAGAATCTTTTCATGTGTCTGTCAACCATCTGAATTTTTTCTTTGGAGAACTGTCTCTTCATATTCTCTGCCCAATTGTTAATCAGGTTATTTGCTTTTTGGGTGTTGAGACATTTAAGTTCTTTATATATTTTAGATGTTAACCCCTTGTTGGATATGTCATTTATGAATATGTTCTCCCATACTGTAGGATGCCTTTTTATTCTGTTGATGGTGTCCTTTGCCGTACAGAAACTTTTTAGTTTGATGTAGTCCATTGAGTTCATTTTTGCTTTTGTTCCCCTTGCTCAAGGAGACATGTTCAGGAAGAAGTTGCTCATGCTTATATTCAGGAGATGTTTGCCTATGTTGTCTTCTAACAGTTTTATAGTTTCATGACTTACATTCAAGTCTTTAACCCATTTTGCATTTACTTTTGTGTATGGGGTTAAACAATAATCCAGTTCATTCTCTTGCGTGTAGCTGTCCAGTTTTGTCAACACCTGTTTGTCAACAGCTGTTGAAGAGGCTTTCATCTCCCCAGTGTATGTCCATGGCTCCTTTATCATATATTAATTGACCATATATGGTTAGGTTTACATCAGGGCTCTCTAGTCTGTTCCATTGGTCTATGGGTCTGTTCTTGTACGAATACTAAATTGTCTCAATTGCTCTGGCTTTGTAATAGAACTAAGTTGAGGAGGGTAATCCCCTCTGTTTATTCTTCCTTCTCAGGATTGTTTTGGCTATTCGAGGTCTTTTGTGGTTCCATATGAATTTTAGGATGATTTGCTCTAGTTCGTTGAAGAATGAGGTTGGTATTTTGATAGTAATTGCATTGAATCTATAGATTGCTTTAGGGAGGATGGCCATTTTGAGTATATTAATTCTTCCTATCCGTGAGAATATAATGTGTTTCCATTTATTGGTATCTTCTTTAATTTCTGTCATGAGTGTCTTATAGTTTTCAGGGCATAAAGGTCTTTCACTTCCTTGGTTAGGTTTATTCCTAGGTATTTTATTCTTTTTGATGCAATTGTGAATAGAATTGTTTTCCTGATTTGTCTCTCTGCTAGTTCATTGTTAGTGTATAGGAATGCAATAGATTTCTGTGTATTAATTTTGTATCCTGCAACTTTGCTGAACTCAGATATTAGTTCTAGTGGTTTTGGAGTGGATTCTTTAGGGTTTTTTATGTACAATATCATGTCATATGCTAACAGGGACATTTAACTTCTTCCTTGCCCATCTGGATGCCTTTTCTTTCTTTGTGTTGTCTGATTGCCATGGCTAGGACCTCCAGTCCAATGTTGAATAGAAGTGGGGAAAGTGGGCATCCTTGTCTTCTTTTCAGTCTTAAGGGAAAAGCTTTCAGCTTCTTGCTGTTAAGTATGATGTTGGTTGTGAGGTTTTTTTAATTATAATTCATTTTGTTATCATTAATCTATAATTACATGAAGAACATTATGTTTACTAGACTCCCACGTTCACCAAGTCCCCAAACAAACTCCATTATAGTCACTGTCCATCAGCATAGTAAGATGCTGTAGAATCACTACTTGTCTTCACTGTGTTGCACATCCCTCCCTATGCCCCCACCCCACATTATACATGCTAATAGTAAGGTCCCCTTTCTTTTTCCCTGCCCTTATACCTCCCTTCCCACCCATCCTCCCCAGTCCCTTTCCCTTTGATAACTGTTAGTCCATTCTTGTGTTCTGTGATTCTGCTGCTGTTTTGTTGCTTCTGTTTTGTTTTGTTCTTATACTCCACATATGAGTGAAATCATTTGCTACTTATCTTTCTCTGCCTGGCTTATTTCACTGAGCATAATACCCTCTAGTTCCATCCATGTTGTTGCAAATGGTAGGATTTGTTCCTTCTTATGGCTGAATAATATTCCATTGGGTATATGTACCACATCCTCTTTATCCATTCATCTACTGATGGACACTTAGGTTGCTTCCATTTTTTGGCTATTGTAAATAGTGCTGCCTTAAACATAGGGGTGCATATGTCTTTTTCAAACTGGGCTGCTGCATTCTTAGGGTAAATCCCTACAAGTGGAATTCCTGGGTCAAATGGTATTTCTATTTTGAGCATTTTGAGGAACCTCCATACTGCTTTCCACAATGGTTGAACTAACTTACATTCCCACCAGCAGTGTAGGAGAGTTCCCCTTTCTCCACAACCTCACCAACATTTGTTGTTGTTTGTCTTTTGGATGGTGGCAATCGTTACTGGTGTGAAGTGATATCTCATTGTGGTTTTAATTTTCATTTCTCTGATGACTAGCGATGTGGAGCATCTTTTCATGTGTCTGTTAGCCACCTGAATTTCTTCTTTGGAGAAGTGTCTGTTCAGCTCCTCTGCCCCTTTTTTAATTGGATTATTTGGTTTTTCTTTGTTGAGGTGCATGAGCTCTTTATATATTTTGGATGTCAACCCTTTATCAGATCTGTCATTTATGAATATATTCTACCCTACTGTAGGGAATCTTTTTGTTGTATTGATGGTGTCCTTTGCTGTACAGAAGTTTTTCAGCTTGGTATAGTCCCACTCATTCATTTTTGCTTTTGTTTCCCTTGCCCAGGGAGATATGTTCATGAAGAAGTCACTCATGTTTGTGTACAAGAGATTTTTGCCTGTGTTTTTTTTCTAGGAGTTTTATGGTTTCATGACTTACATTCAGGTCTTTGATCCATTTCGAATTTACTTTTGTGTATGGGTTATCCAGTTTCATTCTCTTTTATGTAGCTGTCCAGTTTTGCCAGCACCATCTGTTGAAGAGACTGTTATTTCCCCATTGTATATCCATGGCTCCTTTATCATATATTAATAGACCATATATGTTTGGGTTAATGTTTGGAGTATCCTGTTCCACTGGTCTGTGGCTCTGTTCTTGTGCCAATACCAAACTCTCTTGATTACTGTTGCTTTGTAGTAGAGCCTGAATTTGGGGAGTGAGATCCCCCCACTTTATTCTTCCTTCTCAAGATTGCTTTGGCTATTTGGGGTCTTTGGTGTTTCCATACGAATTTTTTGAACTCTTTGTTCCAGTTCGTTGAAGAATGCTGTTAGTAATTTGATAGGGATTGCATCAAATCTGTGTATTGCTTTGGGCAGGATGGCCATTTTGATGATATTCTTCCTAGCCAAGAACATGGGGTGAGTTTCCATTTGTTAGTGTCCTCTTTAATTTCTCTTAAGAGTGTCTTATAGTTTTCAGTGTATAGATCTTTCACTTCCTTGGTTAGGTTTATTCCTAAGTATTTTATTCTTTTTGATGCAATTGTGAATGGAATTGTTTTCCTGATTTCTCTTTCTATTAGTTCATTGTTAGTGTATAGGAAAGCCACAGATT